CGAGTTGGGCCCCGGCAGAGGTGGTGACCGGCGGCGGCAGTTGGCTTTTCGTTTTTGCCCTGGCGATCCGATGGGCGGCAGGTATGGGACCGAGACAACGTCCTGCGAGTGCGAAGAGGCACCCCGCCCGGTAGCACGGGACTGGCGAGACCGGTGCCTCTTCTGGAGACTCGCGGAAGCCGCCTCTAAAACTGAGGATCGGTGCAGTTCGCCCTGACCCTAGGATCAACACAGAAACGCTAGTCAGAAGCGTTTGTCATGGGACGCTTCCTTGTCAACTACACGGGACTGTGGGTGTCCTTCAGCACGTGCGCACTAGATGAGACAGTAAGATACGTGAAATGATGGGCAATTATGTAATTAAAAGGGGGACTTTCGTAACCAAAGAAAAAACGATGCAGAGAGAGGTGTAGGACATAGATTAGCTAGGACAGTTCATTGCTTAGGTTTTACGAAAGTAAGGGTGTTAGGCGAATTTAGAGTAAAGTAGGTGAAAAGGGAATGATGAGCCCTGACCGGTTTGGCTCAGTGGATGGAGCGTCGGCCTGCGGACTCAAGGGTCCCAGGTTCGAATCCGGTCAAGGGCATGTACCTTGGTTGTGGGCGCGTCCCGGGTTGGGGGTGTGCAGGAGGCAGCTGATCGATGTTTCTCTCTCATCGATATTTCTGACTCTCTGTCCCCTCTCCCTTCCTCTCTGTAAAAAATCAAAGTATTAAAAAAAAGAAAAGGGAATTAAGAGAGCAGCAGGGACTGAAGGGGCCACAGTCCCAGCCTGCAAACCAGCACAGGCTAGCCTAGCCTAGCCTGCCTGCCTAAATCACCTGGACACGATTCCAAACAGATAGGGCCAGGCTGCCCTGAACAGATAGATGGGTCAGGTTTATCTGAACGGACTACCCTCTGTGGCCCTTTTATAAGCAGGCAGCACTTCACCCCAAAACAGAAGCTGCATCAGCATTCAGTCCAATTCAGTACTGGCAGTCACTGGGAACCAACCCAGTTTGCCTCTTGTACAACTGTGATTGCTGCTTCTGCCAACTGGATGATGATAGATCCCAATGGTTTGTGTACTTTACCTCTCCCCTCCCATTAGCTAAGGAGCAGTAGGAACACAGGGACTCATTCCCGTCAACACCGTGAAGACTTGTGTGTTCCTCTCATTTACTCATTCGAAAAGTACTGTTATTGGTGCTAGGGGCACAGCAGTGAATAAAACAGAAGCTCTGGCACTTAGAAGCTTATGTTTCTAGTGCAGAAAACATTGAAACAAGTAAATGAGATGATTGCAGGTGGTAGTAAGTATTGGGAAGAAAGCAAAACAGTATGGTCATGGAAGGACTTTTTGAGGAGGTGATCGGAGCTAAGAATTAAATGAGGAGAAGGCACCGACTATGCCAACTATGGGAAGACGAACATTCGGGACAGAGGACTATGGATGTGAATTTAAGGTGCTGATGCTAAACAAGTTTGGCTTGTTTGAGGAACAGAAGGCCCAGAGGCCTGAAGCTCCATGTGGAAGGAGTTTAAGGTTGGACAGTTAAGCAAGAGCTTAATTGTGTTGGATTTTTTATTTCAGTTAAGTTTTGTCTTGTTTGTTTTTTTTTAAAAAAAAATCAACTTATTTTGTAGAGAATGACTTGGAGGAGAACAGACATGGAACAGGGAGAAGCCAGAGAATGATAGGAAGCTATTGGACAAGTTATGAGATAGGTGATGGTGACCTGGATTAGTGTGATTGCTATGGAAATAGAAGTAGAAGAATTTCAGGATATTTCTTGAGGTGCAGGTGTGAAGAAAGGTAGTAAACAAAGTAACTCCCAGGTATTAAGTGAATGGGAGAAATGCAATGCCATTTACTTCAAGGAGGAAGACCACTTAATATGATTGGAGGGACCTTGAAAGCCTCTGCCCTTACTAAGCCTCTCCCGCCACTGGCCTGAAAATCCTTGGGATCAAGGCTAGGTTAAATTTGAATGTTGCTTCATCAAATTCCAAAAAGAAAAAAAAAACAACAACACATGTAGCCCTAGCCAGATTGGCTCAGTGGATAGAAGGGCCTGCGGACTGAAAGGTCCTGTGTTCGATTCTGGTCGAGGGCACATGCCTAGGTTGCAGGCTTGATCCCCAGTAGGGGGCGGGCAGGAGGCAGCCGATCAATGATTCTCTCTCATTGATGTTTCTATCTCTCCCTCTCCCTCTCCCTTCCTCTCTGAAATAAATTTAAAAAATCTTTAAAAAAAACCAAAAACACATGTAATAGTTGCTAGGGATATAAACATGAATAAGAACAACTGTCTATTGGGGAGATAAGTAATAACTAAACCATTTCAAGACAATAAGATGTGTTATGATAAAAAGAGGTAGGTTGTGCACCAAAGGGCCCCTGGTTCAATTCCTGGTAAGGGCACATACCCAGATTGCAGCTGGGTCTCCAGTAGGGGGTGTGCAGGAGGCAGTTGATTGATGTTTCTCTCTCATATTGATGTTCCTTTGTCTCTCTCTCTCTTCCTTCCTCTCTTTCTAAAACCAATTAAAAAGGAAAGGGAAGGGAAGGAAAGGAAAGGGATGATAAAATTGCCTAACAGGGTCATTGTAAGGATTAAATGAGTTAATGCCTACAAAGCTCCAAGTACAGGCCCTGGCATATAAAAGTGCTGCATAAATACATTGAAGTTCATCATTGTTGTTGATGTTATTATCTTCTGGATACAGTGGAAGCAGGAGGAATGACTATCACTCTATGAGGGGAAATGTTGCAATGGAGGAAGGCTCCGCTTTCTGAACCAGTAGGAGGAGGGACTTTAGTGGGCAGGCAAGGAAGGAGGGATGGTCTAAGCCAGTGGTTCTCAACCTTCCTAATGCCGCGACCCTTTAATACAGTTTCTCATGTTGTGCTGACCCCCAATTTCATTGTTACAAATTGAACATAATTAAAGCATAGTGATTAATCACAAAAACAATATGTAATTATCTATGTGTTTTTCGATGGTCTTAGGCGACCCCTGTGAAAGGGTCGTTCGACCCCCAAAGGGGTCTCGACCCACAGGTTGAGAACCGCTGGTTTACAATTAAAAAAAACTTTCACATTTTTTTCCTGATTATGTCAATAATGCATACTTCTCGCAGAAAATAAAATCAAATACAGAAAAGTACAAAGATAAAAGCCATCTAATGTCTTACCATCCAGAGATGCAGCTAAATGTTGATGTGGGGAAGGAAAAGAAAAATGGCCTGAGCCTGGGGACTGAGCCCTTTTGCAGGACGGTGCTGGGTTCTACAGGGAGCCAGAAAGGGAAACCGAACAGGAACTAAACCAGGTTTTAAAATACAAACGTCTCAGTTCTTCAAAGGGTCACATCTCCATTAATGATACCAAACAAGCAGTAAGTATCCCATCCCAAGTCTGGGTAATTTCTCCATTGGCACTCAGGCTTAGTGAAAACATAGACTCACGTAGAGTTAAGGTTTGGGGATTAAGACAGGGACAATGAAGCAAGAGTGTAAATCAGGGCAACCTTAATTGGTATGTCCCTGAAAATTCGTGGAGAGATGGAATCTTGTCTTGTTTATGTATTCTGAAAGCACCCAGCACAATATGTACAAGCCACCTGGTAAATGTATTGAATGAATTATGAAGCCAACTGAAGGCATAGGTACCTAGATCAATAATGGTGAACCTTTTGAGCTTGGCGTGTCAGATTTTGAAAAACCCTAACTTAACTCTGGTGCCGTGTCACATATAGAAATTTTTTGATATTTGCAACCATAGTAAAACAAAGACTTACATTTTTGATATTTATTTTATATATTTAAATGCCATTTAACAGAGAAAAATCAACCAAAAAAATGAGTTCATGGGTCACCTCTGACACGCGTGTCATAGGTTCACCATCACTGACCTAGATCATGGGTAGATCCCAAACAAAATAGAAAGCAGGCATCATTCCTTCTCTTAATGATTCAGCTATTGCACGTGCTATGTCATCACTTGTTTTTCTACAAATAGAATTCTTTACAAACAAGGCAGAGAGCCATCTATCCCAGTTAAGAAGGCGGCCCGCGTCACTCCATAGATTCTCTCTAGTTCTAAAGCAAAGTACCTTATAGGCACTGCAACAGATACAATGACAGTTCCAGGGATATAGACACACATGAGGAAATACCCTCAAGAGTTCCTGAATCACCACAAATTTTTTTTAATCTCACTGAAATGAAGTTGTTGAAAATCTAAAGAAGATTCTGATTAATTGACTAGTTAAGATATTAAGTCCTAGAGAAACAACTAAGAAAGTAACTGAAAATATATATAGTGAAAAAATCATTAAAGAAATTTAAATGTTACAATAGAAAATATTCAATTGATGAAAAAAAGCAGTAGGGCAGAAAGAAAACAAGAAAGGCACGAGACATAAGACAAATTTTTAAAGGGAAGACATAAATCCAACGATATCAATAATAATATTACGTATGAAAGAATTGAACAGTCCAATTAAAAGGTAGAGAACGTCAGACTACATTAATAAACAAGATCCAGCTATGTGCTGTCTACAGAAGACAGTTTAAGATTCAAAGATACACATAGGTTGATATTAAAAGAAAGAAAAAAGATATATTATGCAAGAAACAACCATAAGAAAGCTGGAGTGGCTATATTAATATCAGACAAATAGACTTTAAGGCAAAATGTTTAAATGGTGCAAAGACTTTTTAAAGCAGTTTGGCAGTTAAACATAGTAACCAAATGACCTGGCAATTCTACTCCTCTGAATATACCCAAGAGAAATGAAAAAATATATGTCTATACAAAGACTTGTACAAGAATATTCACAG